GTGAAGATCTATCTCCTTGTTACGACACTCGCGATATTTTTCAATATTTTCGTAACAAAACACGTATAAATCGACAACGATTTCAAACGATTTAAAAATAATTTAAATTATACTTACTTTTCAATTTTACCGTATCCAAAGCGCAATGTCAGTCGAAATACGAAAAATCGAATCGATCGAATCGCGGGGAAGAAATCATAAATATTCCAACGTGTATCCGCCTGTATATCTATAATTCACGTAGAATAATAATAAACGAGAATTTAACCACCGAAACGATCGAGAAGCATTCCGCGTATAATCGGCATCGATGATGGTGGACAGGCATTGAAAAGTAAAAAAATGAAATTAGCGCGAGGTGAATCGAAATTTTTTCTTTTTTTTTTTTCTTTTTTTTTTTAGCGTTAACAATCGATCGGGGACGCCCCTCTCGTGTCGCGCAGAGAGGAGTTATTTCGAATAAAACAGCAGCCACTTAAACAGTGACTTGGCGAGTACTTACAGTGGCCTATATTGTACAATATCTGTCGTCGTGCCTGTTCGGCTCGTGCTTCCTGGTCCATCATGTTGTTCAGCATTTCCAGCTTCCTCTGCAGATCGGCCGCCTCCGTGTTCTCGGGGTCTTTCGAAAAGATAGACATCGGTGGGGAAATGGTTAATCGCGGGTGTGTCTCGACTGTGTCTCTACTGTCTCTAATCTGCATCGATTATTTTCTTTTTTTTTTCTTTTCTTTTCTTTTCGTCTCTTTTCTTATTATATACGTACACAGATACTCGAACGAGAGAGGAAAGATTCTCTCGATCCCCTCCTTGTCTACTTATTCTCGAGATGCGATTCTACGATCTCTACGAAAGGGCTTAAACAACAAGCAACGAGGAATCGAGTATATCTGATATCGAGTATATAGTTCGATGATATACGAAACGAACGTTAACCTCGCGTTACCCTCCCCTCCCTTCGTTCTTTACGTTCTTGATCAGATTTTCTTTAATGGACAGCGTACACGTTGCTTGAGACTTATAAGTTTATTCGAAATTATAGCGAACGTCATTAATCATCAGTCTAATGGCAATATCAATGAAGACTTAACAAGGTGATATTGAAATTGCGTGAAATTAAATAGATTCGATTTTGTAATTGAATGCACGTATGTAAAATATATTCTGGTAAACTGTTCAATATTTATCGAATACACTTGTAATATATTGATAGTTATTTTTAAGTTTCTAAGCGTATGTTAATTAAATTTTGTCGAAAACGAACGTGTTCTTTAAATGGTTTCTTTTATGAAAATCATTTGAGATGCGCGGATTTGAAAGTTGGATGGATTCGCATGATTTTATAACAATTGTACATACACGCGTGTAAAATAATGTTCACGATAGAATAAAATTTAGATTTATGATAGATTACAGCGATCAACCGAATCGTATTAATCGGTGTTGCATACTTACTTGATTATTTTATGGAATGTCAAATAATTTGTATTAGACGAATATTTATTAACGATTCGTTATTAGATCGGATCTCTTCACGTGGTTATTTCAAATAAGTAAGCTCGTAAATTACTCGTTGTTATAAAAGAACGTTTACCATATAAAGTTGCATGAAAGTTGCAGAAAGACATAATTTGATTGGTCTTATTATGGTTTTTTTGCAAGTGGACATATAATAGACATATTGAGGTCAATTTAATTCCCTTGAGTGGAATTATATTTATACAGAGAAGAGCTAAACCCATTCTCCACGAGAAACTATTAATTTAAAACACAAAACTTTTATTTTAAATATCGTAAAAAGAATATATTTAATTTCGAGAAAATGAAAAATCAATTAATCTCTGATCGTTTATTTTACCCGATTAACAAAACAACTTGAGATCCAATCAATTCTTGCCAATACCTTCGTTCACAAACAATTTTTTTCTTCTTCTCTGAAATACACATGCGATATTAATCTGCTACAGCAAATATATATATATATATATATATCATTATTATTACATTTGCTCTCCAGCTTAAGTCAACGATCCCTATCGACGAATCGTCTTCAACCTACGCGATAATCGTTGAAACCTAATTAATTCGTAGATGAATAATTTTTACGGTACCAAAACTATAACCAAGATATTATTAACATAACAACGTTGTTCAAAAAGAAAACGATTAAAACACGTGATCGTAGCCAAGCACAGACACCATCGTCCAACTTATCCCAAACGGTAATCACATGCCGTACAGGGATTCGAAGCCGCGCAAATTGACCTGCGGTCTTGCTCGCTTCGACGGTTTATTAATATCACAGCGTCGGCCTCCAGAGATTTTCTGAATCCGAGCCGCGGGATAACGGGCGATCGTCGACTTAAGGGCTTGGAAACGATTTATCATCGGACGATTGACTCGTGGACCAACCGTAACCAACCACCCTGTCAGATCCCCTCCCTTCGAGACGAGGAGGAGGAGGAGGGATGTTGCACTCGAAAGGAAAATTAACCGAGTCGAAGAAAGCTAAACCTAAATAAAAAGTACTCGCGCGTTCGTCAAAGTTCTCGAAAGGATCGCAAGTTTAAGGACGAGTTTAGTTTACTTTATCCGCGATCCCTCGGTGAACTGGAAACAGGATCGTCGCGTGGAAGTTCGATAGTGGTTCGATGTGGTGTAGGGATGGTGCTGTCTCGGGGGATGAATTTAATACGCGATAAGGAATTCGTGAGGCGTAAGTACTTTCTCGTGTCCTTCTCTTCCACGATTTCGGATAAAAATTGAAGACTGGATTTCTTGTTGGGTCGAGATTGCGTATCAAAACTAGAAGATCTTTGAGGAAACATTTCGATATATATATAATCATATATCGTGAAATGAATTTTATTGATTTTTATCGGTTCGTAGTTAATCGCTTTACGTTTTTGAGATCGATTTTAAGGGGATCGAAGGGGAAGAGATTTATATTGTGGGAGGGGGGGGGGAAGAGAGAGATGATTTATTTTATGGCACTTTCAATCTTTTTTTTACGTTCTCCAATTATTGAATTACAACATTTAATATATGATTAGACGAAATTGATTTTGCATTGGAGAGAATTATGTTTCGAGAAATTTATACGATCTTTTTATCAACATCATGTAATAAAACAAATGATTCATAAAGATACAAACGTTTTACGTGTACCCATAAATCTTTTATCAAGTCTTTCTTTTATTATCGTTTTATTATCGCTGAAGCTAGATTCACGTTTGATATAACGCGTTCAATGAGCGAGATCTCGCTTTATTACTTAATTTTTTACACAGATTTGTTTCTGCTTTGCCTTCGTTTTACACAACACATTTAGATTAATTAATATACTTGTGATCGATGGTTAAAACAATATTCTAAAAGTTTTCTAGAAATATTTATTTATCATATCTTAAAATTTAATATATATATATATATATATATATATATATATACTCGATACGTAATTAA